TTCCTACAGAGGATATTGCTAACGAAGCAGCCGACGCTATTCCGACACATACATAAATACATACATACATATGTTTCTGCCTTACTTCCAAGCTGGGCCTGCTAATTTGCTTCACGCTGGCCAAATGCTGTAATTTAAATTAAGAAAGTTTTAAATTATTATTTAATAACCCATAAGATTTTGTTTTTGTAAGTTACTCTTACCAAAGCTTTTTTCGGTCAAAGAAGTCCACCAATGTTCCTTATACGTAGTTAGGGGTTAGAATGGCAGTATTATTTGTATATACTTCATCGCCTTTTCTGAAGATTGAAGTAACTTATTTATCTGAACACAATTTTTCCGACAAGTGATGCAAACGTATGAAAGTTTTTCATTATAGCTAGGTAGCTTTTTAAATTCTAATGCAAAACATTTTAGTTTTAAATATTTTTTATACCCAATTGACTGAAAATAAATTAACGTTTTTATGTTAAAAATGTCTAGTTTTATTTTGCTTGTAGAAAATTGTGTCGCTCTACAACTTGTTGGGACAATATTCTAAAATGTTTCATTTTAGTTTTTAAAATACGCATTTTTGACGCTATTTCTTTAATGTCGTTTGTTCTCCTCAGTAAAAAAACGTGAATATGTTACAACGATCGTTTTTGTTTTGCGAATGTTTCGTTTTAAAGTCGCAAATACAAATACTGTATTTTTTATTTTGTATGAACTAAAATTATATCAAAAAATTTTATTTTACAATTTCTTTTAAAAACTTGTGTTTTACCTGTATCATTTTCTCTGTGTACATAACACAACTTTTGCATTTGTAAAAACCACCTCCTTAATTTTCATAAAAAAGTTAAAATATCCGCCATTTTGTTTTTAATGAGTATTAAGAAGTGTAGTTAGACTAATCTTCTTTCGAATAGAATCTAGTTTATTGTGTACACATTTCAAATCAATCGATACATAAACGTTTGAGATATAGCGAGTTTAAGTGAAAATTTCGCAAAAATTGGTCGCTGTGAAAAATCAGGTTTTGTGGCTTTTTCGACATAAAGGCATGAGTAAAAACTTGGTTAAAATTAACTTTAAATGTATTTTTGAATAAGCTATCGATTACAATGCGTTTGAAATCGCTTCTCTTCACTTAAATTTTATGTTTTTTACGCTGCCTGTTGTTTTCGCTGCTTATTATTTTCGCTGTTGTTGTCGCCCAATCTTTCCGAGAAGAATAACGCGCAACCTCTATAAACCTTGATTGCAAACGAAGCCACTTACCGCAAAAATGTTTGCAAATCGGTTGCCAGTGTTTGAAATTTGTCGCATATCACCATTAGGCAACAGCAGCTGTTGAGATAACGTGGAAAAATGGCAAACTTAAATTTGTTCTCAAACCTCTCCTTTTCCTTGTGGCTTCAAAACTACAACTACCCGCTCGCTTTTATTGTTATGCATCCTCTCCTTCAATGGCTCAATCATTTTTTGGTAGAAAAATGTAATGCATTCCTTATTTTCCCACTGAGATGTTCTGACCGAAGATGAGTGTGCAAAAGTTCTTGAAATTCTAGGTTCAATCGCCATCTGGCTAACGTATAGTTTTTGTTTTTTTTTTTCAAATAACGGGAAAGTATCTATTAATTTCGAACGAAAGAGTGAACTAACAAAAATATTTCTAACCCGGTCAAGTTAGACATTTAAGGTTGCCACAGCTCGTCTTAAGCTCAAAATTGGTAATAATGTTGCGAACACCATTATAAGTAAAATGCGGAAAGTCCCTATCCATCCCACATCTGCGAAAAACGGTAAGGCTCACCATGAAAAAAAGGTTAGACAAAAGTGTGAATCATGCAGTTGTTTATAAAAACTGTTGTCACAATTTTGTTCCTGCGAATTTCCATTTCTGAGATATAGAGATTAGGCAGAAGTGTACTCCGAGGATTGCCATTGCCTGCCCAAGGGCGACCGCTTTAGAACAACAACGGAATGTGAATCAAACCTTGGACCTATCGGGTGGTAGTACCCATCTCTTAACTTCTCGATTAAGGCAGCCACCATCGTACGCTGGTCTGTAGTGAAAAATATTGAATCCGAATTGTTAAGTACGTTCATACATATGTACTTACTTATGTATGTGCAGTTGTCCACAAAATAATAGGAGTGCGATATTTAAACCAGTTTTGGCTATTTGTCTTTTCTTTATTTAGTGTTTATCATTTTTTATAAAAGTCTAGCCGGTTATATGTACAACAAACATTAAAATTCTGAAAATTTTACCAATTAATTCTAGTATATCAAGTGCAAGTT